GGATTTTGATTATTTCCACCTCCAATGGGGTAATGTAGGGGATGAACGTTTGTATGTAGCTTTGTCAGTTTTACACCGATCGGGTTGAAATTCGGCGTGCAAATGGATATTATGACGTAAACGTCCCTTTAGAAAGGTTTTTGAACATTCTCACCCCAAAGTGGGTAAAATAGGGGGTGAAAGTTTGTATGATACTTTGCCAGTTTTAAATTGATCGGGCTGAGACTTTGCATGCATAAAGTTGCTATGACCTAGGTATCTCTTTAGAAAGGATTTTGATAAATTCCATCCCTAAGGGGATAAAATAGGGAATGAGAGTTTGTTTAAATCTTCTTAGCCATTGAATTTAGAATCATTGAATCTTTTTGAATTACATTCGGTAAAACGATGATTTGGGACCTGGGTAACGTATTATAGTTTTTTCACAGATGTCTCACGAGAACGGGAACTATGCGTCAATACCCCAGGACTCTCTAACTCTTAACCACTGAATTTATTCTAGAGAGATTCGGTACAACAATAGTCGATAGAATAGTTTTTATTACTCAAACCTTACGTGATCGGGCACTGTACTGGTAAGATCCCTGCGGGATTATTTATTTATTGAAACTACGATAAATCATTTCAAAATAGGTAAATCTTACTTGGGCACTGAATTGATTCTGGTTAATTCTGTCAGAAGTCATTAATCTTCGCGGACGAAGTCGCGGGCAACAGCTAGTTGTTAAATAAAATCACTGCTTGCCTCTTGCACCTACCGTTTACTCTTCTCTGCATCACCCAAAGGTCAGACTGGTAGATAATGCCTGCGGTATTAAGTCCACCTATTTGTATATTTTGTGCATAAAGCATATTAAATAAAAAAAAAATTAAGGCAGCGTACGCAAAATAAGTATGGTTGATTTTTTACACCTTGTGTCCGAACATCATAAATATCTTACGGAAGCCTGTTTTTTTTTTCACTAAAAATATAGCCTGTATTTCTCGTGGATGGATGTAGCTTTCGAAGAAGAATTTTTAAAATCGGTTAATTGTTTTTATGCCTATTCACTACAAACAAACAAACAAAGTTTTCTTCTTTATAATACTAGTGTAGAAGTGTAGAAAAATAAAAACTCTTAAAAAAAAAACAAAAATAAAAAGTCTAAAAACCATAAAATAACTTTTACTGTTACTGATAGGTTAGAAGTCGCTGCCACAAGTTTTAAACAAAATTATTCAGAACTAGCTTCTGCCAGCGGCTTCGCCCGCGATCCCAGCGGTAAAATGCCTATGCCTTCAGACCATAATCTACCTCTGTTCCGAATTTCATTCCGGTCCCTTCAGTCGGTTTAATATGACTGAGTAACAAACATACACACAAACACATAAACTCACATTTATAATATCGGGTCAAGCTAATTTCAACCATTTCAACTCTACAGTTACAGCGTAAAGTCTATGATAGTCTACGATGAGCATTGTAAACGTGTGCTGTTGTGGGATATTATTGGGTAATTTTATGTAGAACAATTCCGTCATACATGATTTCTACGTAGCTTTAACTATTAAGCCTGCTCACGCGACGTTAAAATCTGTCGAGTAGTTTTTATTTCTATAAGGAACATACAGACAGACAGACAAAATTTTTACTGATTGCATTTTTGGCATTAGTATCGATCACTAATCACCCCCTGATAGTTATTTTGGAAATATATTTCATGTACAGAATTGACCTCTCTACAGATTTATTATATGTATTTTTTTTTAAGGGGGAAAAAATCATCGAATGACTGCTCCCGGAAGGGAGTCTCAGACTCTTACTGACTAAAAACCACCCCGTTCCTTCTCCTGCACGTCGAGCCGGAGCCCCGGTTACCCGTTAGGTTCTCCGCGACTTATTATAAGTATAGATATAGATAGATTTAAAACTTTAATAACCTAACATTATTAAAGTTATTTACAATTTCATTAAGGATTGTAATAGTATAATCCATAATAAAATTGGGTAATGGTGACCTGTAACCATTACCCAATTTCCAACCAAAAAATATAATTATCAGAATCATTAAAATCCGTCCACAGGCGCAGTAATCGCAGCCGAAATGATAACCTCTTGCTTTTTGGGAAGGCGGTTAAAAATAAAATATTTATAAAATAGATAATTATTTAGATGAGTTCTATTCAATACTGACACATACTATTGTGATACATATTTTTATTGACGAAGTTTACTGTATATTTCTGATTAATATTGTTTTCAAATAATATAGAATTACAGTGTTAATAAATTTTTGCCTGTGTTGGGTTTGAAGAGCGTCTCAAAATACAACTATATCATCTATACTAGCTTTTACCCGTGGCTTCGCTCGCGTCACAAAAGGATAAAAATTAGCCTATGTGACATATACCGATACATACAGCGCCATCTATACCAATACTTTTGTTTTCCCTCGGGAGTATCAAATTTTTTCGGGATAAAAAGTACCCTATTGTTTAATCCAGACTACTAACTTTACATCTGCAAAAATTCAATGCAATCGGTTTAGTAGTTACGGCGTGAAGTCGGAACAAACAAACAAACTCACTTTCCGATTTATAATATTAGTAAGGATACACGAAAAGGGGTCGTAGCATTACATAACATCGTAGACATCAGTAAGAGCGGCGCTACACCGTACATCGTTATTCAAATACCTTTTCAAGTACATTTACAAAAGACGGATTAAAACAGATACATAGTTAATATTAATGGGCACGTCTCACGCCACTTTAAAATAATAAAAAAACTGGTTAACCTCTAAGTTGGTTTCAACTTTTAATCTTCAAAACTTAAAATTGTTTTTAATCAACATCAAAACGTATTTTTTACAAATGGCCTTGTGATTATACAGTTGTAGAACGAAGGCAACATGTTTTGAAACAAGACACGAACACAAAATAGGCTAACATAGAATCCTTACTTTACTATTACTAATATTATAAATCGGAAAGTGAGTTTGTTTGTTTGTTCCACTTTCACGCCGTAACTACTAAACCGATTGCCTTGAATTCTTGCAGACGTGAAGTTAGAAGTCTGGATTAAATAATAGGGTACTTTTTATCCCGGAAAAATTGATATTCTCGAGGGAAAACGAAATTATTGGTATAGATGGCGCTGTGTGTATTGGTATATGTCACATAGGCTACTTTTTATCCTTTTGTGACGCGAGCGAAGCCGTGGGTAAAAGCTAGTAATTAATAAAATAGTCCCGTAAAACGTTGGATGCAAGTCCCACATACCTACTTATTTCTCTACCACACGACACCAACACACGCGCACGAACTACAGCGCTGCATCTATACGTACGCGTTGCAAAGATACCTAGTGCGGCTACGACAATGAAATAACTTGTTTGACGAAGTAAGTTAGTGTGTCCTAAAGGGCGGGGAGGAGAAACAGTTCAGCACAGATGGATGGAGATATTTGAAAGTGTGCAAAAAAACTGGAATCTCATTTAAAAAACTGCTTGACCATTGTCCAGTGCCTGCTTTGCTCGATTTTAAAAAAAACACACGGCGCGTCGCGTGTCTTGTGCTCCACAAAAAGCCATCAGACCATCCCGGATGGGAACCAGTATTTTTTTAAGGGGAGAAGATCATCGAGTGACTTTTCCCTTTCAGGTAAGACGAAAGGGAGTGTCAGACTCTTACTCTTACAACGGACCCGTTAAGTCTTCCGCGGCTCCGTATCGGCATTAGCCCTATCTGTGGTGGTCACCATGTTCGGTAAGCACCTGCGTCAGACGGTAAGTGAGGACACCGTAGCGTCTCTCGACCCACTCCTCAACGAGGGGACGTACCGCTGCAATGGCAGCGAGGCCAGCTTTCGGTTGCGACAGTCGCTGCTGCCATTCCGCCATGAAATCGCGCCGGAGCTCTTCCCGCCACGCACGTCACTATCTAGCGCGGCAGCGGAGTTTCGCCCAGCCGACGTATGTCCGCGTGCTGACAGAACACCTTCGCCTCCAGATCCCACGGCAGTAATCCATCAAGAAGGTTCGGCCGCCTCCCCGGAGATCGTGCGGTATCCGCGGATCATTCGGATCGCCATGACCCTCTCACGACGCACGACCTCGGCGAATAAGTATAACCTCCGGCAGGAGGCGTTTGGCCCCCCGATAAAATAACACTACGGGTAATATAGCATTCGACAAACATGTTCTTTGCGTTTGGTACCGTAATGGTGTCTAGGGATCGAGCCGCATAATTAAGTTTTTTGATTAGTATATACTTTATCGATATAAAAAGTGTGATGCCCAGGATATTACAGTTTACAGTACAATTATACCAAGTTTCATCGTAATCGGACCGGTAGTTTTTGCGTGACGCTTCAACATATAACTATAACTGTATATTACAACGTATGTAACAGATAAACAAAAATTGTTTTAAACTGTCAAACACCGTGAGGACCCCGGTGACCGCAACCTATTGTTCTTTCATTGTGTCTATAATGACGCTACTCAGAGTTCACATTTTTGGTGTTGGTGTCTATCTAGTACAGGCCGTACTATTATTATGTATTTATATTTTAATTTTTGTAATGTACAGTATTATTATATGTACATACGTACCTATGTAGAGGAATGTATTTAAAAGAGTAATGATAGAGTTCTTTAGCTTGTTCTTTATATGAATTTTCATTTTTTACGAACACCTAGCTTCAGTGACGGGCAGACTGAAGGACAATTCTATTGCGGTTTGTGGCGTATGTGAATTCATCATCAGCCTGTACCCTATAGTGTACTGGTGAGAATAAGTCCTTCGCGATGTTTGCCTTCACCGTAATGTCAATGGTGTCTAAATACGTAATCTTTGGAAGTACCTTACAGACATAGCTATAGGTACAGACAGATACATAGACACGGTGTAAAAGTAAGGTTCCTTCCTTCAGAGACCTTGATGTTTAAGGGAAGTGTTGCATGGACGGGGCGAAGTGTTTTAACAGTATCAAGATGGGTGAAGATACGAGTATTTACCAGGGCTGTCAGGCACAGTGTCAAAATGGCAGTTGAGGAGCAGGGCGGAGCGTCCCGTGGCGCGGCCGCCCACGCCGCGCACGCGCACCACCACGTTCTGCACGTCGCGGTACACGTTGTTCATACCTGCAACACGCGCGCGTCACTGCCGGCCGCACTCACCACTCGGCCCACTCACTCACACACACCGTCCATGAAGGAGAGCGCGAATGCTCCGCTGGCGGTGTGCACGTCCAGCTCGAGCTGGTTGTGCGGCGAGGCGTGCGCCGCGATGTCCTTCACGGCCGCCACCAGCACGCCCACCGCCAGCACTTCGTTCTCGTAGCTGCCTGCCACCTGCAAAGTCAGTGTAGAAGCCGTGATGACGGCGACCGGGCATACGTCGCAAAAAGCGAGACGGACGCACCCTCGGGCCGATTGCGGTGAGGTTGATGAGATGGCGGTGCGCGGTGAGCCCGTGGAAGCGTTCAGGCGGTGCGTCGGGCCCCAGCGGCTCGGGCAGCGCGGCGTCCAGCAGCGCCACGCCCGCCAGAAGCGCGGCGTTGGCCGCCAGCCCCGCCGCCACCCACCATACAGACAGCGGCAGCTGTGCCGGCTTGTTCTCTTTCACAAACTCCATACTCTCCTGCAAAAATATCTCCTATCAATCCTTTTACTATGAAATGGAATTGTGAGCTATAGTAGTATTATGACTTGTGCCAACTGCTTCTTTAGATTTTCCTAAACAACCTAACAGCTAAACTAAATGTTAATGAATTTATCTTGTTCTAACTTTTGCTGGACCTATTTAAAATAATTAATATTTTAAATCGTTGTATTCAAAGAATCAATAAGTTCTCATAAGTCACTTAAAACAAGAGATTAAAATTATTTTAATTGTCAAACTATTTTTAAGCACAATATTAAATATTTTGTTTGTAATTAAGTCATTAATCAATAAAAGTTCACTTGAAATATAAAAATACTATAGTTTTGATTGCAGTATAGTAATGTATGATTGCAAAAGTATTGTCACAACTACAAGTAGCCCAAATCAAACCTTAACATCAAAGCCACACTTAACATCAACTCTTAAAAATTATGAGAACACAAAAATAATGAATATAAATCAGTTATACATGTACAACACATGTGTCTTCATATTTTTCATAAGAAAAATTCGCAGCCAAAGTTCCAATACAAATATAGTTCTCACACAACATATTTAAACACATAATAGTGAGTTATTTAGCTACTAGTCTTACCAAGAATTAGCACTAACTACAATATGGTACTTGTCTACTAGTCAAATTGAATATTTTTTTCGAACTGTCACATTCACTGTTTCATCACATTTTTTTAGAGTCAAACAGCGTACTTGCTGGAAAAATATAAAAATTAAGTTAGTCATAAAATAAATTAATGGAAGTGTGACTATTTTTTTATATTTTATTGTATTGAACAGTAATTTAATTTTCACTATGGAAATTGGAAAGAACTAAATTAAATACCGTCATATATATGAAAACTACTGTTTTAGTGCATTCAAAACCAAACTTAGCCAGTAAATAGTTGTAAATCAATCACTTATGAGGAAATTATAGTGTTCAATTTGGATTGGACTTTGTTTGTTTATAAATATGTAGTCTGTACATGATTAATGATGATGAACTGTATAATATATAATTTATTTTCTTAGTGTTGTTCTCAAGTGATGTTTTATGTTTTATTGACAATAATCTTACTTTAAACCTAAACCAAAAAGAGATAATTGCAAGTTACTTGTTCAATGTGACAATTGTAACGAAATGCCGAGTGCTTTTCATAGCGAATTAGTCAATATGATTTTAACTTCAAAAAATCTGTTATGAGTTATGAAAACAGAGAATTTATTGAAACTTATGTAAATTATTTAGTACATATAGATATTATTCACGTGTAATTTAGTTATACAAAATGAATAATATGCGTAGTTAGTTATTCATTAAATAATAATAATCGCTTACCATTTCGAATGTTAATATTTTTTCTTGTTTTAGGCAGATATTTTTTTATACAGATGAAACAAAAACAAACAGCCCCATTCGCTCAGACAGCCAGTGACTTCACTTGTTAACTCGATTGACTACCTACCTACCTCAGATAGAAATACGCTTCATTCTAATTGCCGTCTTACTTGAGTTTCATATGATTTGAAGTTTGAAAACTTAAAACATCGTTGTATATATTGTATTGTCGTGTGTCTTCAGTCTTGTCAAACTCAATACTCATTTTCAACGTTTGACATTTTTACATTGACATTAGATTTTTTAAGGTGTAAATGTTTTAGTTTTTAGTTATTTGTATTTTAAGTTGTATATATTTATTCTTAAAAGGTATTTAAGTTTAGATAAATTATGTAATATTTCACCTATATTCTATAATATATAACAAAAATTAAAAAATAAAATAATCGATGTTATAAATATCTGTAACTCGCACTCTAGAAAGAAAAGAAGAAGTTTTTCAACGTCTTCGAAAGATTATTTTTTTGTTTTTCGGCTTACTCACGTGCCTCAAAGAGCCATCATGCTACCACGGATGGGGCCCCATAGGGCTGATGCCGATACGGAGCCGCGGAGGACTTAACGGGTTGCCGGTGCTCCGACTCTAAGGGCAGCAGTAGGAACGGCGTCAGTAAGTGTCAGTTTTTAGTCAGCTAAAACACCTTCCCGCCACAGCCAGGGGAGAGAAGTCATTCGATGATTTCCTCAAATAAAAAAATTGTACTTTGGTAGTACTTATATGACGCACGTCGATTGAACTCCTCTTTCAGTTTTATATCGATCATTATGCTTGACACTTTTCCTTTCTCTTGAACGGCAACCGAGTTTGACACTGGATCTGTCAGTATGCAGTGACATTGACATTAAATATTATCCCTGCGTTAATTACACGACTGTGTGTGGCGTTAAATAAATATTCACATGGTGTTATGTGTAGATTCCTGCTAAAATTATTATTTATGTAATATTGTTTTGTCGCTGCAGTGCAATGTTCAATTTAAATATTTTATGTAAATAGTTTATATCAAACAATAATTAAAGATTAAAGACATTTTGTATAAGTGCACAAATAATTTAAACTTATTGATGCGGTACTATTGAAGCTGTCTATATTTTAAAATCAAGTAGTTTAAATCAGATTTTTCGAAAATGTCAAACTGGATCGGTTATGCTATATCGGTTAATTGTGGTGAGCCTTTAGGCTGCTACCAAGGAACAATATTAGAGGCGGATGGAAATACAATAACTTTAACGAAAGCCTTCAGGAATGGCTTTCCTTACCCAAAGGCACAAGTAACGCTTAAGTAAGTTTATATAATGATGACTAGTCTTACGAGAGAGATTCAACTTTTGCAAACTTATTTGTATTTGTTAACATGTTACAGCGCAGCAGACATTAAAGATCTGAAGATAATAGAGTCCCGTGCCCAACCAAGTGAACAGACTCACAGTACAGTGGCCGTCACTAAGAATGCCAAAAAGGCACAAAGAGCAACAGTTTGTGAAAACTTGCAAGCAAACCCAACAAGTTCAGGTAAATGTCATCTGAAATACTACAGCTATACTTACTAATATGTAATCTTCAGAAGTACTAGAGCGAATTGAAGAATTCTGTTTGCGTTGGATAGTCCATTAACTGAGGAAGACTATAAAACATCACTGAGTAGCCAGGGTAATTATGCAGGAGTAGAGACAGTGGTATTCTTGAGTGCTTTTTATATTTAGTATGTTTTATTTGGATACTGTTGTGATGAGAACTACTACCAATACTCTAATCTAAGTGTTGTTTTTGTAAGTTGCTAGTAATTGAGTGTGATGGATCAGGTAGATGATTTTGAAGTTGTGAAAACTTGTGGGTAGTTTGCTGTCTGTACAAGCCTACACTACACTGTACAGTGATACTGGATGCTGATGAAATAGTAGCCAACTCTTTACAATATTACTAGCTGTTCCCTGAGACAAATCTCATAATTTGCATCTAATTTGCGTCTGTTTGTCAGTCTTTGAAGACAGAACGGAGCTAGAAATTGAAGGCAATTTCATCTATATCCACGCAAGGCGCAAGCGAAGCCGTGGGCAGAAGCTGGTCCGAGAATAAAATGTATTCAGTGCATTGAATTCATATTTTTTTATTAAAATCCTTTATTCTGGTGCATCTCAATGCCATTATTAGTACTTGAAAACATTGTTCTATCGGTCAAACACTTAAGCAATATTTATGGAGGGTTTTTGGTAGATTTTCCACATATCAGGTTACGTTATCGAAATTCTCATATTGTTCCCATTTTTTTCTGTTATCAAATATAACCTAGGTATAGTATAGGTAATGTAGGATGACAGAAGACAAGCTGCAGTCACTTAGAAAAAACAAGGCCAAGCTGGCATCTAAAAACTTGATGTGCTTAATGGAACGAAGTGGCACTGACACTTCAGGGGCAAAGACTGTGTTGAGGCGATAAGGTTGCAGTTTGCATGTGCTGATTTGCCAATGAAAGACGTGTGGTTGTGGGTAAAAGGTAGAATGAAAAGAATGGACTACAGATTAATAAATACAGTTATGTGATACAAACTTTTTGAACGAACAGACTGCTTTTTATATAAATCGCAAGTTCGCATTATCGCTTACCACCAGGCGAGATAGTAGTCAAACGTCGGCCCATCAAATATATAACAAAAAAATATGGATACCAGCTTGACCTTTGACGCGGTCCAAAGGAGAGATGTAAGACTTGTAGACGATCCTATATTTACGAGCGGTATCAAGCACTTAAATCTAACGAGAGACTTTGTCTCCTTGTGCGTGTTCCACCGCTTGTATAATGGGTTATGTTCCGTTGAATTGTTTGATATGATGCCCACGGCCACTTTCTATTATCGCACGACAAGGAGGTGAGCTCCTTCAGCTCACACATTGGTGGCCAAATGGTCCCGTACACATGTTCTTCTCGCTAGATATGTAGAAATTACGTGTGTCCTCATTACTAAGAGGTATCTTTGTATGTACATATTGAAGTCTCAACAATGGACTGTGACTAGTCTTGAATGTGTAAAAGGATATCTAATCCTAGAGAATAAAAAAATGTATAATTTATAGATTTTGAAATCGCAAGTGCATTACTCAACTTCGTGTACGTCGTATTGTACGCCACGTACCGCGCGGCGCATATGTTTATCGAACGCTTACGTTTTACAAGCGTAAGTGTGAAGGCGCTGTTAGACTTTGGTCACTGTTATGTATAATTGTATACCATAATAAAAATGATGTTTATGTAGGTAACCAGGCAGGAAGCAGCACCACGAGCCAGGGGGGAGGCGGGGCAGGCGGGGGCGCGGGGGCCGGCGGCGGGGGCGCGGGGGGGGCGCGCGCGCCGCGCAGTAAGCCCATCGACATCCAGGCGCGCGCCAACAAGAACAACACGCACGCCGGTACCGAACTTACTTCCTTGCTTATAATGACATGTCGTGCTGTGTTTCGACCACTACCATATACACACTTGAAATTGGCAATGAAAAGCTAAACTTTTACATAACATGTCATACTGTTACAAACAAATATTCATGCTATATAATTTTTAATTGAAAGGGCTTGGAGCTACACATATTCGAAATACTTTTTTAAATAAAATGTTGCCCACACTAGGATTTCCTCCCGCGTCGTTGGTGCATCTACAAATATACAATTTCAAATTGTGACCCAACAAACGATTCGATCAACGAGGCGGTCATAGCAATATTAGCAATAAGAATAAGAATTTTATTTTCTCAAAATGTGTGTGCATACAGAATTAAATACAATGTATTATTGATGAGGTTCAGGTAGAAAAAAGCATAATTGGCAATTTAATAAATTTAATTATTTTATTGTTCATTGTATCGGCGGGTACACGAGCGGTGCACTCAACGTTATTATATCGCAGCAGCGCCGCTGGCACCCCAGTGGGACGGATGTTAGCACTAACTGAGCACTAACTTGCTCTTACAATGTCCGTTACGCAGCAGGAAGCTACGGCAACCCGAGCTCGACGCCCAAGAGCCGCGGCGGAGGCGGCGGAGGTTTCGGTAACGTTTACGACAAGGCGAGGCGGCGCAACGAGGCCTGCTTCGGCGAGCTCGCCGACCCCGCGCTCGACGACGACTTCGATTTCGAGGGCAACCTCGCCCTGTTCAACAAGCGCGCTCTGTGGGAACAGATTCGTAACTCGCACAAGCCCGACGTAGTGCGGCAGGCCGACGACGTGGGCAAGTTCCGGCACGACGAGAACATCATCGGTGGCGCCCCGGCCGCGCCCCGCCGCGCCCTGCGCCTGCCCGACGCGCTGCGCGGGCCCTGCGACTACGTCACCGACACCGGGCTCGTGCTGCCGGCCGCCGCGCCGCGCCTGCGCGCCCGCCTCTGGGCCGCGCTGCAGCGCGCCGGCCTGCGCGCCCAGGCACACGCGCTGCTGGCGCGCGCCGTGGCGGACGTGGCGCTGCGCCTGGTGGGCGGCGGCCGGCGCCTCGACCCGCGCAACGCGCACCAGGCGCCCACCGTGGTGGCGCTGGCGGGCCCGCACGCCACCGGCGGCGTGGCGCTGCTGGCGGCGCGCCTGCTGGCGTCGCACGGCGCGCGCGCCGCCGCGCTGCTGGCCGCGCCCGCGCCGCAGCCCGAGCCGGCGCTGGCGCGCGAGCTGGCGGCGCTGGCGGCGGCGGGCGTGACGCTGGCGCGCGAGCCGGCGGAGCTGCCGAGCCCGGACGTGGTGCTGCTGGCGCTGTACGAGCCGCTGCTGGACGAGCCGCAGGAGCCGTACGCGGGCGCCGTGCAGTGGGCGGCGCGGGCGCGGGGCGCGCTGGTGGGCGTGGAGCCGCCGTGCGCGGGCTGGGCGGGGCTGGCGGCGCGCGCGGCGGTGCTGGGCGGGCTGCCGGCGGCGCTGGCGCCGTCGCTGGGCGCGCAGTACCTGGCGGACGTGTGCGTGCCGGCGGCGATGTTCGAGGAGCTGGAGGTGGAGTACCGGCCCCCGTTCGGAGCCAGCGCCGTGCTGGCGCTGCACCTGGCCACGGACGCGGACTGACTGATGCCCGGAACTATGGTTCCGGTAGTGTGTACCGACTCGACTATGACGAACTTGTTCGTAAAGTGTCTTAATGTTATTTGACGTGACCGACTCGGTTCAAAAGAGATGTATTCTAACTTTTAAGTATCACACATTTTGTGTTGCCTTTAAACATAAAATCAAATAAATGACATACTATCCGAAATATTTTATACCTGTATATTATTTACATATTGAAAGATAGTCAAGAATTTAAACAACATTTGAAGAGGTTAAGTACATTTTAGACATGGTCGTGCTCTACTAACGGCACGGTGCCCAGTATCACGGCGCCAGCTCAGTACTGCACCGCTGTTGGCACGCTTGAATACAAAAAGCCGACGGTGGCGTTAATACGTAATGAAATACTATGTCATATTTGTTATGAAATATTATTAATTGCTGGGTAGGAGCGTGTCGGGTTGTTGTACAGTTAGATACGTCGTGGAAGAAATCAAAGAGACCATTGTGTAAGTCCATCGATTTATTTTGAAAAAATTAATTCATCAAAAAGCATATCATACTTGTATGGACAACAGAACATGATTATGTTACGGCTTAACACAACAATACTAGAGCATCTAACTACGATACATACTTATATACAAGACGGCGCTTGAGTGCACAGACTGCACCCATGCGCAGGCGCAGTGCCGCCTGATAAAATCTTATAAAATTAACAATAAATAGATAAAGTATTGTACGGAAGACTGGACTGGCTTACTGACAGCGGAGAGATCGACCATCGTCGCCTCATTGTTTATTTACATTGCTTAGCATTCACTCTGGTGGCCGAGCACTAGTATGTTTAAATATTTCATTTCCGGACAATTAGCATGCATTGTGGACCGCGAGGCTAGACCTTTACAACGGAGGACTTAGGAATATAATAACCGATTTCACCAAATTGCAATCACTGTAAACTTTACATTTTCGCGGAAAATATAGTCATTTAAAAGATTATTTTTAATAAACTTGTTTAAAAATATTTTGGATATATTATGTACACTCTGTGTGTAACAGTCTTTGGTTGTAGAGATGGCGGAGCCATTGAATTATATCTCTCATCACAATTTACGATATCTAGTAATATGTATTGGAACCCCACGACGGCACGGGCCACCGTGTGGCGTGTACACGTCCTAGGAGACACCGACGCTAATTGCTATCCTACGCGATATAAATGATACGGACTAGGTAAACTGGTGTAAAAATTATCCAAAAACTTGTTATAAAATGATTTTCGGAAATGAGTAACTATAAACGGCTACAAGCTCTAACGACGTCGACAATAAGCGCAGCCGCCGCGAGCTAGGCCCTACACACATACACGAACACATCGCCACGACACTTACATCCAGGGGACACCTTAACCTTACCGATAAAAATTCCCACGTAATAAAACTTACATTATGCCGCCCGCTATGGATTAACTAATGAAAAACTTAACTACTCGAAATTGCATCGGAATGAACGTGCGACTAGACGCGTCGTCCTCGAGCGAGCCCGCGCTTCACCATGTGTTACGTTACGAGTTCTTTGTCCGATGTCAAAGTACTAAAATTAGTCACAAACGACAACACCGTAAAGATTCATAAAAACGTAGAGGGGAGGGGGGGGCGGCTAGAGCTCGGAGTCGCGCTCGGGCTGCGGCGCGGGCCCGCTGGCGGACAGCGGCGCGGCGCGGCGCATGAGCGCGCGCGTGGCGTCGCGCAGGCGCAGCAGCTCGTCCTGGATGCGCGCCGTGATGGCCGCGCGCGTCTCCTCCTCGCTGGCGTTGGCGCTGCGCAACCTGCAACACAGCGCTCGTCACGGGCCGCCCGCCGCGCGCGCCCGCCCGCCGCGGTACTTACTTGTCCAGCAGGTGGTGTATCTGGATGGGCTCGCCCACGTTGAGGAACACCTGCTTCCGGAACTTGAGCAGATAGGGCTCGGTGTTGGGCAGCACGGCGTCCATGCCCTCGTGCCAGACGGGCACGATGAGCGGCGCGGCGCTGCAGTCGGCCACGAGGCGGCCCACGCCCCACTTGAAGCGGATGTGCTCCTTGTTCACGTTGACGCGGCCCTCGGGGAAGATGTGCACCCACTCGCCGCGGGACAGCCGCTCCACGCAGAAGTCCATCGCTGGCTGCAAGCAGAGCGCGCGTGAGTGGGCCGGGGCCGGGCGGGCTGGCGGGCTGGCGGCGGGCGGGACTGACCTGGTGCACGCCGGCGCCGCGCACGACGGGCACGCACTTGCCGAGTGCGAAGAAGCAGGAGTGCAGCGCGTTGGTGAAGCAGATGTCGTGCGCGGCGAGGGACCAGCGCATGCGCGCGGGCCGCGTCAGGCTCGCCAGGTCCAGCACGCCTGCACACACGCACGGCTCGACACTCTGCTTGTACTTGTTCAGATCATCAAACATACTTCTCTTAACATTTGGTCACAGTGACTTGACCGCATCGAATCTTCTTGAGGGGTCACGATCGTGAGTCGTTTTAAACTACCGGAATTATTTAACTTGCTCAAGTTTATTATAAGTATTAAAAGTTTTTGCTTTTTACCAGACTGTAGAGCTTTCCTTAAACTTATTGAAAAGGTGTTTTTCGCACGAAAGTACGTAAGTTAGTCTCGCTAAAACTCGAGAAATGTTCGTGGAAGGACAGGGAAGGTTTAAAAGGTGAGAAAAATTTTTAGGCGGTACGAAGTTTGCCGGGCCTCCTAGTTCTTATAATAATAATATCTCCAAGACAACTGTCTTGAGCTGTTAATTATGTCAATTTGTTAACAGATTTATATATTAGGGTAGATGATAAGAATGCTTGGCAGCATGTTGGTTCGGCTCCACTGGACAATACTCAAATGTAGTCAGTAGCTAAATTCCAATAGTAGGTAATTTAATACATAATTTAACACTTTAATTCTAATGTAAACAATCTAGTTTCCTTATGGCATCGAGCATTTCTTTATTGAAACAAAGAGTTTCCTTTTCTTGTATAGAAGCATTAATTCTATGGATTGTCAGTATGCATATGTGAGCACATGTTGGACTTTAAGATATTTATTTATTTTTTTAAATTTTAGTAAGTTTTTAGTACAATGCGTCAAGCATGTCTTTGCATTGTTCTTACATATGCGTACAGTATTGAAATATGTACCAGAGACATTGTAGAACATACTTTTTTAAAAAGAGTAACGAGTGGAGTTTCTTGCTCGTTCTTCTCCATTCGAATCTACTTTTTGGAATGAGCACCTAGCTTCACCTAGTTTCACTGACGGACTGACTGACAGACTATTATTTATTTTGTATTTGTTGACGTTTCAAAAGTACCAAACTATGGTTTAATTGAAATAAATGCTTTGACTTTGACTTTTGACCGACTTAAAAAAAGAGGAGGTACTATGTTCGGCTGATTGATTTTTTTTTTGTTTGTTCGCGCAGTATTCCGCCATTTGTGAACCGGTGCCATATTATAATGATATAACTTAATAGCCACAAAATTGTAAATTAGGTATCCATTAAGGTTTTAAAGCTTCGGGATAGGCAACTTAAAGTGCAAGTAAATAAGGTAAACTCACAGGGTTCTGGCATATCTATGGTAGTATCGCAGGGCTCGGTACTAGGTCCTTTCCTATTTTTGGCATACATAAACGACTTGCCCTATTTATTCCGGAATGAACCGTAGAAAGTATTATTTGCTAATGACACATCACTGGTTTTTAAAATAAATAGACGAACTAATAATTATGACAATGTAAATAGTGCTCTGATGAAGGTTCAAAACTGGTTCACAATAAATAATTTAGTGCTGAATGATAAAAAGACAAAATGCATTGTTTTGTGATGCAATTATTAGTTTTGCCAAACGTTAAAAATAACGAATGTGACATAGCTTCACTTCTAATTTTTTGTTGTTGACATTCAAAAGTGCCTTCCTGTTATAATTGAAATAAATGATTTTGACTTTGACTGACGCCCAAGCGGCTGAAAGGATCGGGATGAAATTTGGTACAGTTATGGACAATAGATTATGGTCTGAAATAACACCGGCTTATTCTCATACCACGGAACGCGGGCGAAGCTAGTCTTATATGAAGACCCTTTTTGATTAAAATTGCACATATATTGTAAATCTTCGGGGATAAAAGGTGTGATGTTATGTTTATAACTCAAGAATGGCTAAATCGATTTGGATGAAAATTGGTGGGGAGGTAGCTTAAAACTAGGGGACGGACATAGGATACTTTTCACCCAATTCTTTTTTTTACTTTTTACCGAAAATCAAGAACGGGTACGGGAAATATCGGGATTGCGCGTACGAAGTCGCGGGCAGAAGCTAGTGTATGTATATATTGTAAATCGGTTTTTAGTTAGTATTGCAGTACAAGGAAGCTAGGTAAGTTTAGAGTAATCTAAAAACACAAGTATATAACAATCCAGTAGTTTAAAAAGAGACACAGTCGGGGCCCATTCGGAAGTTTGTGTTGTGCCCCCATCGGCTTTTAATAATATTATTTCTATGACAAAATAATTCAATCAAATCAAATGATGTATTGACCTGTAATCATTATTGGTAATATCAGATTTCTGGAATGTAGTCTTTAATCAATATTGTACCCATCTGATAAGCACATATGTGTAGCGATAAGGAATGAGGTATGTAAGTAGAATATCAGTAAGTTATCTGTAAGAGTCAATAACGAAGTCGTTGTAATTGCTGCCAATTATCATGGACCGTCGTTCCATGCAGTCTGAGGGAACTCTCGAAGGGACACTGCGTGTGAGCAGTAGCGGGGTGTAGACTGACCCCAGAGGCCGGGGTCGTCGAAGCACGAGTGGTGGTTGGACACGGTCAGCAGTGGCTGGCCCCGCGGCCGCCGCACTGCCGCCGCCAGCGCCTCGCGGTTGTACACCGTCGTCTTGTTCAGGAACTCTGCAACAAACACACTTTACTAACTGCTCACTTCTAAATAACTTTTCATCATTCTTCAATTAGGTAACAAATCACTCTATTACTTTTAACACATGTTCTAAGTACCTACCTCAATCAAATATCACTCACTAATTTTAATAAGACTACATACTACAAGTAATGTAGGTATGGTCAGTGTATGACTATGTGTGTCATTCTCATGTTCAAATACATTTGGTATACGCTTATACATACTGTCTTGGGGGAGGATATCCTTACTTCCTTACTAATATTATAAATCTGAAAGTGAGTTTGTTTGTTTGTTTGTTTGTTCCACCTTCACGCCGTAACTACTCAACCGATTGCTTTGAATTTTTATAGACGTAAAGTTAGAAGTCCGGATTAAATAATAGGCTACTTTTTACCCCGGAAAAAAATGATATTCCCGAGGAAAAACAAAAGTATTGGTATAGATGGCGCTGTGTGTATTGGTATATGTCACATAGGCTACTTTTTATTCTTTTGTGACGCGAGAGGAAGCCGCGGCTAAAAGCTAGTTAATTTATAATATTAAAATGTGAAGCAACAGACCCAGTTAATATACTCAAGTGATATAACATCACTCTAAGGCCCCCTGTGTCTGGCTGCGCATGCCCGGTATACGAATTCGTGGTTCATACAAGAGTTCATGAACACATACAAGACAACCACGAATTCCCGGCTGCGGCAGCCAATACAACGCGGTTGTCTGGACGGCAGCCGGCTGACTGCGTGCAGTCAGGCTGTGTGTGGTTATCAATAACAGCACCTTTTTTGTTTTCTGAATATGCAGTTATGAGAGCGAAAATTCAATCAATGCAAAATATACAAAAAGATGAGATCTCATTGAGAATTGGGCTCCTTGTAAATTCACTCACAGTGAAATACAATGTAAACGTTATTCCATGCTGGTATCTTGTGAGGTTGTAGTGTCATGTCACTGGTCGAGGCTGCCCATTTGTGCTGCAGCATGGGTCTTTCACACTTTAGAATAGTAATACAAATATTCAATCATATTCTTTATTGCAAAGTGATTCCAGTTTCTGGCTGTAGTAACTGAAATACTGTTTAGGAGAATAATTGATATTGCTAGAATGAATACAATATACATAAGTAAGCAGCGAGTATTGTTGCAACACTTAACCTTTGATATATACAAATAATGATCTATTTAGAACAGCATAAATTCAGGGACATTTTGATATAACAATAACAATTACCTATTTCCTTTACATGTTTTGATTTAAAGTTTTTTAATTATCTTTTTTAGGGGTATTTTGTTTGTATTTGTCATTTTAGCCTTGTTTACTATTTGTATTTCCATGGATTGATGTTCTGTAAGTACCAGATAATATAAAGTCGCCAGAACGACTGGTCCAATTGAATAATTATTTTTATGTTGGATAGTGGTTTCATCGAAGGTGGCTATAGGCTATAAAACATCACACTATGATTAATAGGAGCCGAGCAGAGGGTGAAACCGCATAGAAGCGACTATAAAGCCTGCTCTACACTAGTGTACAAGATTCGCAGTAGTCGTCGGCTTTCGCGACCATTCGCGCCGCGAGTGTAGAAACCGGCTTTTGATTCAGCAAGTTTATTATACCTAGTAAGATAAATAGATATATAAATAGAATTATGTTTTAGAATATTATTATTTACATAAATAATCGAAAATCAATTGCTAAGGTGGGCTACACAGGTACTGCTTAGAAAAAAGCAACAAAAATGGAATAACAAGTGCAGAGTTTGTATCATTGTTTCAGTAAAGCAAACATTATCTGTTACAATAGAATTTTGAAATATGATAAACAACATTTTTATCAATATTTATATCAACTTATTGTTTATCACCGTTAATGATCCAACATAGTTTTGTTAATATATTATTGTAGGCTGATGTTCTTTGTGTTGGACCTAATCACTTGTAGGTACATAATACTATTAAAGTGATGTCACACATTCTAACAAAAAGTTTGATTCCCAAACAATATCTGTCAGATATTTTCTATTTACTTAGTTATCTTGTTTCTGATAGGATTAGTGTTGTGGCTAATTAGAATAGTAATACATATTAAAAGGGGCAAGCACACAATGATATTAAGTAAGCAGTGTGCAGTGAGGTGGACGAGTGTGCGTGAAGAGATTGATGAATGTAGAGGAAGCAAAAGTGGTACGCTAGAATCATGTTGTTGGCTTCCCAATGTCTCTGTCTGGCATAATGGGAGACAGGTGTGACGTTACATATGTATATAAGTGAGCGCAGTGGTTGTGAGACTGTTAAGTAGTTTGTTTGGTTAAGTTTTCTCATTTGGTAACTCCTAACATAACAATGCAAAATAAATGTTGTGTTAGTCTTTCTTATAAGCTACATGTTTCCAGAGTTATTAAGGGTTGAGCTTAGAGTGACATTTGTCACTGTTCTCCTTTAACCTTATAGTCAGTGAGTGGCCTATGGGTGGAAGGAGTGACCATACAAAGAAAGCCATGAGTAATAGCTAGTTTAATACATTTTACATAAAACATAATGGGAAACTTAATATATTAATAACTTGTTTTAATTTTTTACTACTTTAATTTAATATTATACACAAATATACAAGAATTAATTTTTAGGACATCTATCTCATGATTATGTAGTATCTGTTGACAGTGACTTTGGAATCACGGTTTAACGAAGGTTATATTTTTCTAGATGTTATAATATGCTACAAAGTGGCATATTGAATAAAATAGCATTACCGAAAAGTTACGTGCGCTGTAAGAAATGGGCAAATAATGAAATGCTGATGTAAAGCAGTTGTCCCCACTGCTACACAACACACCAAATGCTAATTACGCATTTACATTCGCGCAACATGGTTCTACCATAAAAATTAATACCTATGTGAATTTTGCATATTAAAACTACTAAGTATTAAAATAAATTTCACTGACCTAAGATAATTTTACTAAATAAACCGACGACAGCAACAGTGATAGAGCTCGCGCAGTGCCATAGCCTTCCTGGATTCCGCAGGCGCGGTATAATCCATCCAATGTCGTAGCCCATGGTTGGGCTGGAAGCGCACCACACGGCAAAACACTACAATAACATCATTACTGTTATTAACTTTATAAAGTTCCACTCGCAATCAAAAATTCGTGCTACCTATTGTGCGAAATTTACGTATGAAGTATGACTGACTGACTGATTCAACTGACAATTACTTTTACTGTCAAGACATTGACAACAATTGTCACTTTTTCTAAAGTCCTAACATTGGATACCAAGTATTTTTGCATAATGTTGCATGCATTGTATTAAGTCCGTGTCTATGGTTAAGGGGGAAAATCATCGAATGTCTTCTCCCGCTAGGGTGAGGCGCGAGGGAGTGTCAGATTCTTACTGACTAAAAGCTACCCCGTTCCTACTCCTGCCCTTCGAGCTGGAGCCCCAGCAACCCGTTAAGTCCTCCGCGGCAAAAAAGTCTATAACGGATTTTCTGCTTGATGTTATGTTTGATGAAATAGCTATCTATCTGTTTTTGCCGCTTTCTGACAAAGCTCGTCCAACTTTGCTTGCATGTCGGCGTGGGTAGGACTAAGCAGGCAAAGATCGTCGGCATAGTAGAAGTCTTCTAGAACGTTGTATAATCCCAATTCGCTTCGGCGCCAATCTTCTAAGATGCGAAGCATAATTCCGTCGAAGTAGTAAATTCATAATTATGCATAACTGTAAATACACATAAAGTCGATTCACCGTAAGCTTTTTGTAACATTTTCAGTGACTCCGAATACCAAATTCCATTGGCGATGCAAAATTTAAGACAAACTCTTTGTTTGATATTTTTATCTGTCTCTGAACCGAGAATCCGTGTCCACCTCGGTTTCTGCAGAAAGTTTTTTTAAATCTTTATATAATAAATAAGAAGGGCTTTTTTCCTATGATGAAAACGTCGGCACTACATATACCAAATTCAGTACACATTACCTAAGATATTTTTTTTGTTATGGGTTTGTGGCACCGACTTCTAACCTTCTTTCTCTTTACTACTTTTCCCGGTACTTTCTTGACAGAGTAGTATGTTCACGTCTCACGCAAAAACTCCCGGTCCGATTACGATGAAATTGGTATGATTATACTTACTTTAATACAAAAAACCATAGAGCAACACGGGCCACCGGCGGACCGGAGTGTTGCTCTATGCAAAAAACTTAATTGTGCGGCCTAATCCCTAGACACAGTCACTGTACCGAACCTATAAGTTTGTCGAATGTTAGGTTGCCTGCAATGGACTTTACGCTGTACCTGTAGGGCCGATGGTTGAAATTAGCTTCAACCGATGTTATAAATGTGAAAATATGTGGGTTTATGTGTATGTTTGTTACTCAATCACATCAAAACGGCTGATGGAACTGGGATGAAATTTGAAACAGAGGTGGATTACGGTCTCGATTAACACATAGGCTACTTTTTCCCTTGGCAACGCGGGCGAAGCCACTGGCAGAAGCTAGTCTACACTAATAGTATAAAGAAGAAAGATTTGGTGTTTCATTTGTTTGTTTGAATTGAATCTCCTCCGAAGCTACCGGACCGATTTAAAAAATGTATAAATAAAAAATAAACGAGGGTACCAGAGTCGTTCACGTAGCAATCCCTACAGAGCGAATAGGGATTGATACTAGTGCATGATATACATCTAGACTAATAGTATGAAGATGAACGATTTGATTTTTTGTTTGTGTGGATGGAAATCTCCTCTGAAACTACGTGGCAGATTTGAAAAATTATTTTACCGTTGGAATCCTACATTATCGATGATGAACAGGCTATATTTAATAAGAGAGAGAAAACCGTGTGAAAATTTAGATAATGTAACCCGATGTGTGAAAATACTAACTACCAAAAAACTCCTTATATTGCTTAAGCCCTTGACTGCCAATAGAAAGCTGTTTTCAAAGACTAATAATAGTACTTAGCTGCAACATTATCAGAGATTTCAAAAAAAAATACGACTTCAATTAACTGAATACATTTTAATCATGGACTAGCTTCTGCCCCCGGTTTCGCTCGCGTTATTTTAAAGTATTGAGGGCAGGTTTACAAAACATAAAAAAGAATTGGTGCCCTATGTTTTGCTGGTCACAAACATGATACTAATTTTAGGTTTCTTGAAAATTACGAAATGCTCCATACGAACTTTCATACCCCGATTTAGGGAAGTGGTGGGTTAGATAGAAACAAAACAACTCGCCTATGCTACTTTCAATCCTTTCTACTATCTCCACTCAGTAAAAAATCACGTCAATTTCGAACAAAACAAACAGACGTAAACAAATTTATAATAATAAGTATACCTTTTTATGTTATCTGACATATTTTTTACTGATGAAACTCATTCATGCCAATATGCCAATGGATCATTGTCATTTTTTTTACTGTCATGATATAACTTTACAGTATGCAAAGATGCTGGATACTATTTTATTAACTACTGAACTATTTGATTGAAATTCGGTTCAAAGAGAGTTTGAGACACTGGCACTGGAAAGGAAATCTCACGGGAAAGGGCGTTAAAATTCCGGGTCTCTGTATTGCTTAAACCGCTGAACCTATTTGAGTGCAATTCGGTACAACGATAGTTTGAGACTCGGAAAATGACGCCTGGTAGTTTTCAACCGATGTACCTATTTGATTGGAACTCAAATGGAGTTTTAATTACTGAAACCCCATGGGTATGGATTATGGATACTGTACTGGTAAAATACCAGTTGGGTTGTATATACATATATATATATATATATATATGCATTTTTTAATAACATAAGCCGGTAAACGAGCAAACGGATCACCTGATGGTAAGCAATTGGTTACAAGTACGGTACCGGCTTTTTGGAACTTGGGAATTTGAGGATTGTGAAGGATTCGGCGATTCGGGAGATTAGTGATTGGGCCTTCGCTAACCACACTCATACGACGAAACACAACGCAAGCGCTGTTTCACGTCGGTTTTCTGTGACGCCGTGGTATCACTCCGGTTGAGCTGGCCCATTCGTGCCGAAGCATGGCTCTCCCACACTGTAAAACTGTAATATTTTTTTGGAATCACGGAAATAAACAACATTGTACAATAAATATAACTAAATGGGGATGATGACAGGGTATGAAAATTAAAAATATAATTAGTCCGTAAGTTAGGTAATGAAAAAATATTAGACACGTATTTTTTTATTTTGTCGTATAATAAAACAATACTTAGATAAAACGAATCAAAGTTTAGGAGTGGGGGCTAAAACGTCATTCCTTAGTATAAAATGTACTGAGAAGTGACGTCACGCGACATTTCAAATCAATATATCTTCGAAACTTTTCGTTTCTGTGAGAAAATAAAAAATACGTGTCTAATGTTTTTAAATAATCTATCAGACGGACATTAAAATAAAAATTAGTCGTCTACCCCATTGATTCTGATGAGATTTGTTACACAGCATTGTTTTTTTTTTAAACTTTGCCCCACATTAGGATTATCTCCTGTGTCGTGGATGTTTACAAATATACAAGTTCACATACACAATGACACCCAGACCCGAAACAACAATTTGTGGATCACACAAAGTGTTGTTCCGTGCGGGAATCGAACCCGCGACACGTTGCACGGGAGCCGGTTGCCCAGCCACCGCACCAACCGTGCAGTCATAATTGTAATTAACCTTGGAGAAGACTAATAAAAAAATCCAAAATTTGTCAGTAGTCATTATTACACGCGGACGAAGTCGCGAAGACACATCACTTGCGGGTTACCGGGGCTCCGGCTCCAAGTAGAAGTAGGAAAGGAGGGTTTTTTTCGTCAGGAAGAGTTTGACACTCCTTCTCGCCTCGCTCAAGGCGGAGAAGTCATTGATGAAAAAAAAACAGACATATCACGTAGAAAAGCTTTAAATTAATAAAAATGCGTCCGATGAATTTGTCATCACATGCTACTTGCTGCTTGCTGGGAAGTCCCAGACACCAGCCGCAGCAGCAGCGGGGAGCAGGCGCGCGCTGCGCTTGTAATGGCGGGGCGGGTGCGTGGTGGTCGTGGCCAGCATCACTGGCGGCGGCGGGTAGTACAGCTGCGTCAGCACGCCCAGCTCCAGCTGAGCACAGACCGCACTCATTAGCACCAGCATCTCTATGCCTAGTACAATGTATGTCATCGTCATTGTCGTTGTCGAACGCAGTGCCACGGGCTGTGAAGTGAGCACCGATTCGAAATGCTTGCCGGAAATACCCGATACTTATGAGGAAAACCGTGAGAGAAGAATGTACCTACATTGTATGAGGTCGGAGCAGCGCCGACACACTAGGTATGTATTTCGAAATTAATCGCATTGGATACACACGTGATTGTTAATGAAGGAACAATGTCGTGCTCATTGGAAACGGATTGGTGGAAAAATAAAATGATGCGGCAAATTAACCGATAGGAAAATTAGTTGCATGTGTGAGGTTGAGCCTACCACTATGACGCTAGCAGTCAGGAGGTGCGACTCGTGCTTAATTTATTATTATAAACTTACCTTCAACAAACAAATAACGCTTAGCCCAAAATTATTAGGATGTGGTGATCATAGAAGAACTCAGCGGCATGCATGTCGGCTGTAATGTTAATGGTGTCTGCTGTAACAACTTCAGCTATGCAATCGACATAGTGTTGCCCGTCGATTGGAGCTCTTCGGAAGTTACTCGTAGGTTGTGAGTCTTTTGTAGCCTCACACGGAATTGCTTATTACGATAAAGACTGTCTACATGGTTTTTAAATCAGATCATAGGAATCCGCCTATTTAGCCGATTGTCTTGAACGATGTATTCTTAAAAATAGTGTCTCAATTTGAATATCTCGATTGGGTTATCGATGATTTACGAGATGAGGTTGACATGGCAGAGCATTGTCAGTTCGGGCAAATGTGTTGGCACGCAGATTCTCTCGTTGTACTGACGCAGTTAAAATAAGTTTGTGTAAGGCGTATTGCAACTCACTGTACGCTCACTAACTCTCAGGCTCAGGCTGGGGCAGGCTCAGGCTCACAACTCTCAACCTCCACTTTCCCTTTTCAATCCTTGTCACTACATCATCTTTCAATCCACACCTTTCTCTAATACCACTATTTTTCACTCGATCACTCAATTTTAGTCAACACATACTTCTCAGGGCTCTCATTTCCACCGCATTAATCCTGCTTTCATGCTTCTTCTGCGACACCCATGATTCACTACCATACATAAGCGTTGGTGTCACACACTGCATTACAGCAAGTCTAACTTTGCTGGATATTATTTTACTCGACATTACAGAGTATAAAGCTCCATTAACACTATTTCCCGTTTTCACTCTACTTTCAATATCCCCGTCACACTTTCCATCTCTCGTAAATAGTGATCCCAGATACACAAATTCATTCACTTGTTCCAATTTTTCATCACCTATCATTACCTGACATTCTGTTATCACCTCATTTCTTTCTATCACCAACACTTTCGTCTTGTTCACATTTACTTTCATACCTTTCCTTTCAAATGCATCATTCATAGCAGTGATAATTTGTTGTAATTCTTGGGCCGACGAGGCAACATGCACCTGGTCGTCGGCATACAACAATGTTTTAATCACTGTGTCATTCATCCTTAATTCAGACTCTCCTACTTTCAGGTCGTTCAAACAACTGTCCATAAATAGGTTGAACAGCCAAGGAGATGCTACACAACCTTGCCTAACACCTCGATTAATGTTGAACCACTCTGTGTAGTCCCCATTTATTCTGACACAGGCACTCGAGTCCTTATACAAGGATTTAAGTGCCCGAATCAGGTGGCTATCCACACCATACATGGACAGAGTTGACCACAATTCATCCCTCACCACTTTGTCATAAGCCTTTTCTAGGTCTATAAAGGCACAAAATACCTTTTGGTGCTTTGACAAGACTTTCTCTGAAATGCACCGTAACGAAAAGACTTGATCCGTACACCCCATTTCCTTTCGAAATCCCGCTTGCACATCCCAGATTTTATGCTCAGTTACATCCATCACTCTTTCGATCAATACCTTGGCATACAACTTTCCTACTACGCTTAGGAGGCTTATACCGCGATAATTTTTGCACTCCTGCTGTGATCCTTTTCCTTTATACAGTGGCACAATTACGGCCTTGGCCCAGTCTCCCGGGACACGACCGCACCGCCAACACTTATTAAAAAGTAGATACAGCAGGCTTGCAATTATACCTCCGCCCTCTGTTAGCATTTCAGTAGTTATCCTATCACATCCCGCTGCTTTACCTACTTTCAAACTCTTAATGGCACTCACAATTTCATCCATATTTATTTCTCCCACATTAGCACTTTCATTTTCATCGTTTACTTCCTCTTCTTTCAAATCCCTCCTTTCAAATAAATTCTCGAAGTATTCCTTCCACTGCTTTAAAACATCCTTACTTTCTCCAATGACACTCCCATTTATATCCTTTATCGTACTTACTTTCGAGTCCCCCACTTTGCCTCTGGCCCTTCTAACTAAATGCCAGAATAGTTTAGCGTTGGCTCGAAAGTTCCGCGAAAAATTCCTTTCAAACTTTTCCTTGCATTCATATTTTTTCTTGTTAACTACCGCTTTTGCATTCTTTTTGAGACCAACGTACTTTTCTTTCATACTCTCTAGCACTCTTCTATCTGCCTTTGAGGCTAATAAGTTGAGCCATGCTTTCTTCTTTTGCTCTATCACCTCTTTTACTTCATCATCCCACCATTCATTCCTCTTGCTTCCAGTGTTATTTTTCTTGCTTACCCCACATACTTGAGCAGCTACTGCGATCACTCCATCCTTAAATTCCTTCCAACATTATTCTATATTCCATTCGTCGCCTTTAATTGGCTCCCTAAAGCTTCCATTCATGACATTAAAATTTTACAGTTTAAAAAAAATTAATAACTTAACAATATGATATATTGAACAATATGATAAGATGTTTTTTTTGATAAGCGAACTTTTTGCCGCAATATTCTGTTCTTTTTTAATGCATGTCGTGGCATCCTTTAATTAACGCTACACTGTACAGTGTCAAGATAATGTTAAAAACCTATCATGTACTTTGGGGGATGCTTTATTGGTTGCCCTTAAATAAACAAATAAATAAATTATAATAAACGATTCAACGATTAAAATCAACAGTCAACGTATCTGTGACCTACCCGCAGGTACCTAGATCATGATGTTCGATAAGAGGCCACATTAACCTCCACGCCACTACAATTAATGACACTGTCAGACACACGCGGTACATTTACACACATTGTAATGTTCGAAAATATTATAATTTTGCACTTCTACACCGTAAAATCAATTTCATTCTCGTCCCAAGTAAAATGGTAATACAATAGTTTAACAAAGAAATAAAATGTTTAAAACAAAAAGCATTATTATTAAAACATCACGCCATGTAATTCTCGAAGGGTAGTTTTCTATATTCTTCGGGTAGCACGTGCAATGCGAATAGTGCCTACTTTACGTCTAGTGTTTCATGTGCGTATTACCATGAACTTTTTTGAAACTATAAAAATGAATGTTGGTGTACTTACTTGCCGTTATATCGTTTCAAATAGTTAAGCAACTAATCTTCTACTACTTCTAATACTTTTACACAAAAATAGTAAAACGGAACAAAATTTTGACACGAAACACAAAAAAAGTGGGGCTGTCGACAAACAGGTGGAATTTTTATAAAAGTCCGATATCTTGAGAACGGTTAGGCTTGGGATATAGTATAGTAGATACTAACACCTCTTAGAGGATTTAGGTCGACTTAACCGGTAACCCTGCATAAATAAATAAGTTGTAGTGTGGGAGAGCCATGCTTCGGCACGAATGGGCCTCGACCGGAGTGATACCACGTTTAATTAATTCGATAAAAATAATAACACTTTGATTTCAGTTCATAACTTTAATGACTCCAGAACCAGATGGTGACTGAAATATCATAGTTGTGGAGTTAATGGTTTGTTTAATAAATAATTAAATATTATTATCATTACGTAACTGTAAATATCATTATTGACCTTATAGGTAGTTAATAGTTCGGATCCATTTGCAAGCTTAAGTCGTGAAGTATATCGGCTACCGTATTCCTGGGCCCTTATAATACCTAATTAAAAATATAAAATACATCACCTAAGAGTCACTCGTTTCTACGCACATAGTTAATCAAAGAACATTTTCCGCGTCTAGTGTGAGTTGTTGCCGAGTGTGGGAGTGGGCAGGTCAGCGCGCCTCAGCTTCCATGATGAACTCGGTAATCATCATCTCCATGGAGGGCGCGATGCCGCGCTGCACGCACGCCTGCTTGAAGCACTCCGCCACGTGCAGGATGCGCCAGCAGTGGTCGTCCTCGTGGTCGTGCTGCTTCTCGCATGCATGAATCAGCTCCACCATCTGCCGCGCCAGCACCTCGCCTGCACACAGAACCACTGTCTAGTACACCGAGTCACCGACTGCTGCCGCGTGGGACTCGGTCGTCGCTACGTCGCTACACAGACCAGTGCTTACCGTTGGGGAAGGACTGGATAAACTGCTCGGTGTTCTCGTGGTGCATGCGGCTGCTGTCGGTCAAGAGGTTAAAGTGCCGGCTCATGCACTGGATGGCGCAGCCCAACTCGCGGTGCTCGAACTTGAAGTCGTCACGCCAGAAATGGAAGAACTCTTCCATCTTCTCCTCCGTCAGTTGACTCTGAAAGAGATTATTTTTATTTCTTTCCCATCATCGCCCATTTGCATTTGGTGGCTGCTTGTGATCTTTCTAGATAGAGGTTCATGTAACAAGAACAATGTTTGGACCAATGCACTAGTTATATTTGAGTTTGGCGTGGACAGCAATGTGAGGACAGTACTGACCTCCTGGCGACACTTGTCAAGCGCTTGTCCGAAGCCGAGGGTGACGTCTTTCATGACATTGACGTCGGCGCGCAGCGGCAGCACGGCGGCCAGCAGTGGCAGCGCGAGCAACAGCAGCATGGCGGCGGCGAGTGTGTGCTGGGCGGGCGCGGGCGCGCGCTATATAGCGCCGCGGCGCGACCTAATGTCTGTCATCACGGAGGAGGAGCTCGTCCGATCACATACATTGCTGCTTTGTGGGGTTTACATAGTAACGTTGTGCTTCAGTCCAATTGTAATAGATAGTAAGTAATTAATTTACAATCAGGGAAATTATCTTGAAAATCTGAACATGCCTTCTGATTATATCGGTATTGGATGGGATTCTTGTTACGTGTGGCAGAGCCATGGTCCATGGGCCGGCTCGTCCGGAGAGATACCACAGCCTCACAGGAAACCGGCGTGAAATAAACACTTTTTTTTGAGGAGGGAAATTCATCGAATGACTTCTCCCGCCTGAGTGAGGCGAAGGGCGGTGTCAGACTCTTGCTGACTAAAAACCACCCCGTTCCTACTGCTGCACTTTGAGCCGGAGCACCGGCAACCCGTTAAGACCTCCGCGGCTCCGTATCGGCATCGGCCCTATTGGGCCCCATCTGTAGTGGTGTGGTGGCTCTTTGAGGCGCGCGCAGGCGTGAAATAACACTTGCGTTGTTTCGCCGTGAGAGTGATGTTACCGGAGGAGCGGAGAGCCAATTCATTTATGATATAGTAAATCATAATATCATCTCTCACCACCAGGCGAGAGAGTGGTCAAAAGCAGGCCCGTCAAATATAATTATAAAAAAATGACTCCCCCTCCCTAATCTCACCAATTCCCAATCCCCGAATGTTCAATCGAGAATTCAAGAAATCCCTAACCTAAAAAGGCAAGCAACGCACTTGTAATGTTTAACGGGAACATATATGATTGATCTGTAAATGGGTGAATTTTTTATAACATAACATAAGATCACGCCTTTTATCCCCGAAGGGGTAGACAGAGGTGCACATTATGCCTCTGTACAATGTAACACCCACTTTTCACTATTCATGTTATGAGTCCGAGTATACCGGGCACTATTACTATCGAACTCCGTGCTACTACTGGGGTTTTAAAAAACCCAGTAATACTTTGCCCGACCTGGGAATCGAACCCGAGACCCCTTGCCCGGCAGTTGCACTTGCGACCACTCGGCCAACGAGGTAGTCTGAATTCTTTATTATCTACAAATATTGATAAATACCATTAAATGACTAACGCAAGATCACGAAAAGCAGTTTTCGCAGTTGTAACAAAGCTACGAACATAATTGTTCGTTCGAAATTCTCCCTCGTTCTTCTCTCTCTCAATCCAGCCTTCATTGTCCCCCTGTTTTATTTCTGTTTTGTAAGTTGTACACAAAATGAGAATAGAAAAGAATGTGATCGATATAAATGTGGTGGAGTGGAGGGCGTGGTTAGCCATGCGCGGTATGTACTATGTAGGTAGGTACATGCATAGAGAGGTCACCCGGCCCCGACAGGGACATCATTAGGAGCCCCCCACTCATTAGCCGCCGCGCCGTGTAATGTAATTAGGTCTCATTACCGGACTTCAGCAAATAATTGGACATTTTACAACATGTAATTCCGTCTTCATTGTCTCCCCGTGTAGTAGCCGTGCGCGACTGACAGGTGCAGCCTTTGCGTATCTATACTCCCCAATGCTGTTGGTTGTATTTAAATGTAGATACTGTCCATTGTCTGAACATTCATTATAATAAATTAGTTTGAAGCCATTTCAGTAAATACTCGGAAAGTACAGTGAAGCTGAATTCAAGGCCAAAACTCACGGGCCAGGGGCTACAAGTTATGTTGCGTTCTAGGAATGATAGAACGGAGCCCGGTACCGGCGGTGCCTGCAGACGTTTGTATGAGGGTTGAGTTACAAACGCGTGGAGCACATGTACCGGCACGGTGCCGCAGAGATCGACCACCATAATGTGAACGTATTGTAAGCCTAATAGTATTTAATGGTAATATTACTGACATAATTGACAATTGTTAATACTCACCTAGTCGAATATCATGTCCAAACGGATGTACTTAATAAAAACTTTATTTAATACCTAATATTTTACATATAAAATTTAACTTTATATAAATTATATTTATTTACAATTTTGTGATTTAATAGTTTAATTAATAGTATTGTCATACTTGAAAAATATTGGATATTGTTTAATAAATAGGACGGTCAATTGTTTTTTGTTAGTTTGGAATACCCACGGGTATCATTAAAAAAACCACAGTTGCTTGTCGACCGCCATAGAAAGTGTTTATGGAATAAAGTGTACTTAATCATAAAATAACCGTATTTTAAATTCTACAATCCCTCGATTCTGAAGCTACTCCTTTAGCTTCAGAAGTGGGATCAGCGGAAAACATAAATTTTTTTCGTACCACGCCTGCAAACGGGAAGAACAGAAAAACCGTAAGTACCACGTCTTTTGTGTAAGTAATGGTTGCGTGTAAAATTAAGAAAAAGTAGCATATAATTATTAAGTTAAGCAAATTTAGTGTACTATTTTTTTTTTCTTCCTGAGTTTTGTCGTAAGTCGTATGAACTAAAGTTCATTAGATGGATGCATGATATATGTTTTCATGAGACATGTTTTCTTTACTATGAGATAGCAGAGCAGGTAATAAGGTGTGACTGATTGAGTGCATTTAATACCGCGCGGTACTTCTAATTTTTATTTTATTTTCTACAAGTGCTGTTTTATTTTTTTTTTACAATATCGTGTGCTTACCTGCTGTATACAAACGCGTGAATTATTGTCGTACTGGGTATGACGGATAGTATCTTATGGTTGTTATAGCGTCTGGACTGTATTGTTTGAGCTGTGTTTTTATTATTATAACCTATTATCTACTAGTTTGTCAGGTACAACTATTGGCTGAAAGGATTCCGACTTTGAAAATACGTGTGCTCATAATAAACTAGTAATTCAAAACCACATCAGTATCAATGTATTGTTAACATTAAATCTAATTTGCTATGATTTGGTCAAGTAGAAGGCATAGCAATAGTTTATTAAGCTATGTTATTGTCAGTTCCAGTTTATAATTATGGACCGAGAAAACCGTAACAGTCGAGACGCAAGTTTTGAAAGGTTTAGTGCAGACCCAGGAGTACCCAGGTGTGAAGGTCAAGGTCAGGATGCACTGGAGTCAAGGCGAAGATCGCCTAGTCATGCAAGTTGGCCTGGAGAACCCAGACGTGTGGGTGAAGGCAGGTCATTAAGGAAATATAGCTCAGAGCAACCAGGGGCACCGCGAGAGCGCGATGCTGAGGTTGAACGTAATGGTTTATTAGACGGAGAGCGTCAAATAACCTATTCCAGGAGAACTGCGCAAAGGTGCTTACGTACACCGGCACGTTGGGAGCGGGAGCACTCGCCTAGAACGGGGCAAGAGAGAAGAGGACGTTCACGCGAGTACACACCCAGGAGTGAAGACGAAGTGACCCCAAGGCGTGAATCACGGTACAGCAGGAAGAGGAGCCGCAGTTCATCGCGAGATCCTGGTGAGTCGCAACCATCTTGCTCTAAGCAGCATAAATATCACGATACTTCTACAGATGCTATATTAGATAAATTCTTGTCTATTTTGCAATCGGTCAAAAGTTCAGATAAGCCAAAGATGACTTTTAATACTAACATTGTTCCTGAATTTGACCCTATGTCGAAGGAACAAACGATTTTGACTTGGTTAACGAAGGTAGAGGAGTGCGCCGGAATTTACGGTTGGGAGGATAAAGAGACAATCCATTACGCTTTGCCTAAGTTAACTGGGCTAGCACGATCGTGGTATCAAAATTTGCCCACCATGCTGTTCACTTGGCCGGAATGGAAAAACAAATTAATAGAATCTTTTCCAGTCCGAGAAGACTATGCTGAACTGTTGACCGAGATGCTTGCTAAAAGAGTAAAGTACGGGGAATCGCTTGATCATTATTATTATGCAAAAATCAACCTATTGAATAGATGTCGAATTTATGGACGACAGGCTGTAGATTGTCTGCTACATGGCGTTGACGATAGAGCTATCAGAGTAGGCGCTCAAGCAGCACAATTTTCAGACCCGGAAAAAGTTCTTAAATACTTCAGAACGGTTAAAGTAGGCCAAATCCGTGAAAGTCTTGAATCATCGTCGAAATTCAGGAATGAACGGAGGAACACAACATCGTTTGCTAAATACGGTAGTTCAAAGCCTGACACTACAAAACTTGTTTGTTATAATTGTGATCAACTTGGTCACCCGCGTTTTAAATGCGACAAACCCCCAGCAAAATGTACTACATGCGACAGATCGGGTCACTTATCTGTCCATTGTTATAGGAATAAAACCAATAAAAGTCGCGAAGGAGATGCAAATCAACTTAAAGATAATAATGAAAAACAGGTTGCCCAGTTGAATATAGTAGACGAGGTAAATGCTAAATACATGCTTAACGTTAAAGTGAACGGAAAAGTCTTAGATTGCCATTTAGATCTGGGAAGTCAGTGCTCTCTAATAAAGTTGTCGAAGGCTAGAGAATTTAATTTAGATATAGTAGTACCAGAGGATTTACCTACCCTCAGGGGTATAGGTAATAATCTGACTAACCCAGTTGGAATTACAACCGTCTGCGTCGAAGTTCAAAATATAAAACAGACCATAAACATGTATGTAGTTGATGATTATGTTATCAGTCAGTCGGTTCTGTTAGGACACTCTTTTACTGAAAAACCAGACATCATTATCACAAAGACCCCCACTGCCGTAATATTTCAACAAATCCCAAGTACTAAGGTGCACCTAGTGGTTAGTAAAGATATCGACATCTACCCAAATACGTTGCGTGCTGTTCAAGTTCTTGCTGACTCGAAGACAGATGTACGAGTCTACGTTAATGGTTCCATTAGAGGTCCGGAAGGAAGTGAGTACTACCTCCTTCCGGGTGATTACGAAGTCACGGGTGGACGTAGCGCACTGCTGATCCACAATGCGTCATCCAGTGTAATTACTCTAAAAAGAGGAACTCTTTTAGCACGTGTTTATCCCAGGAGTACGGATAAGGGAAATTCAGAATATACTTTGCAATCATGCAATGTCTCGTTCTGCGTAACCCAGAAGGATGATGACTTTAATCACGGTGAAAACCTAAATCCGGAGGAACTCTTGCAGTTAAAGCAACTGTTACAAAAATACAGTGA